AAATACATAAAGCAAAAGCTAATAAAACTGCAAGGAAAAATAGACAAAGCCACAGTTATAGTGGAATATTTCAGTATCTAGTTCCAAGTAATTGATAGAAGTAGAGAGAAAATCATTAAGTTTATAGAAGATTTTAGCAATGCTGTCAACCAACTTAATCTAATTGATGCTTAGGGAGCACCACCCAATAATTGAAGAACACTCGTTCTTTTCAAGGTCATCCAGAACATATGGTACATATGATATACCATATTTTGAGTAAAACAACCCTGTAAATTTAAAAGGATTCAAATAAGTTAAGCATGTGCTCTTTGAATGAAAGAGAATGAATATAGAAATCAAAATAGAAAGATACATGGAAAATCCCCAAGTATTTGGAAACTAAATGAAAGTTTAAATAATCCATGTGTTAAAGAAGAAACCAAAAGGGAAATTATTAAGTATTTTGAACTGACTAAAAAGGAAAACAAAACATGTTTAGTTATGGGATACAGTTGACACAATACTTAAAGGGAAATGTATACTTCCAAATGACTGTATTCGAAAAGAAGAAGGGTCTAAGATTAGTGACCTTATTTTTCATCTTAAGAAACTAGAAAAACAAGGACAAATTAAACCCAATGGTCAGTGTGGTGAGGCAAGAAAAAGTTAAAGTGCATACAGATTAGAAAGAAAGAAGTAAATCTGTATTAATGGACAACATGATTATCTATGTAAAAAAAAACCCAGCTACTGAAGTTTAACCCATAAGTTGCTGGTTACAAGATAAATATACAGAAGAATGCAGGGTACAAAAACAACTAATTTTGTATACAGCAGCAGCAGACAATCTAAAGTGGAAATTAATAAAAATATTGTTTACAATAGCAACACAAATATGAAGTATTTAGGAATACTTTTGACAAAAGATGTGAAAGCCCTTTATACTGAAAACTAAAATATATTGTTGAGAGAAATCAAAGACAACCTAAAGCAATGCAGAGATATGCTGTCTGTGTTCATGAGTTAGAAGACTCAATATTTTTAAGATATCTAGTCTCTCAAAATTGATAAATTCCACACAATCCTAATCAAGATCCTAGAAGGCAATTTTGTAGAAATTGTTAGGTTGATTCAAAAACTCATATGGGATGCCAAGGACCTAGAATAGCTGAAACAACTGATAATAAATGAAGTTAGAGGACCTGCACTACCCAACTTCAAGACTTATTATTAAGTCACAGTAATCAAAACATTTTGTTACGGACAAGTAACATCTTTATTTGCCCATAAAGATGGATGAAGAGATCAGTGAAACACAATAGAGAATCTGCAAATAGACCCACACATACCGGGGGTGCCAAAAAAATGTATACACATGACTTGTATTCATCTTTTGTCATTGATATATACTGAGTATTACAATTTTAATACAGTTTTTTCCTTTCTTAAAATGTGTATACCTTTTTTTTGGCACCCTCTGTATTTGGTTAATTGAAAACAGTTCAATTCAACAAACGGTGCTAAAACAACTGGACATCGTTTTAAAAAAAAAGAATTTGCAGCATATAAAACATTAATGCAAACTGGATCATAGTCCTAAATGTAAACCTTCTAGAAGAAAACACAGAAAATCTTTGTGGTAATAGGTAGTACAGAGGTTTCTTAGATAAGGGCAAAAGCATAATACATAAAGAAAAATTAATAAATCCCACTATCAAAATTAAAAATGTCTGTTCTTCAAAAGACGCTGTTAAGGGAAAAGTCACCAACTGGAAAATACCTGCAAATCCCAAATCTGATAAAAGACAAGCATGCAGAGTATGTAAAGAACTCTGAACTTAATGACAAGGGGGAAAAAATGGGCATATATTTGAGCAGAGACTTCATCAAAGAAATAAACTCGTGGGAAAGATAATTATTCATTAGGGAGATGCCACCATAGTGAAATAGCACATAATAGAATGTCTGGTATTGAAAAGACGGACCAAACAGATGTTGGCAAAAATGTGAAAACAGCTATAATTCTTATGCACTGTTGGCAGTGACCTAAAATGATGCAGCTACTTTGGGAAACAGTTTGGCAGCTTCTTAAACAGTTAAAGGGACCTCTAACATTTGACCCAGCCATTCTACTCTTTGGTATCAATCCAAAATAAATTGGATCTTATGTCTGTACAAAGACTTGGACATATAGATTCCTAGCAGCTTTAGCTGTAAGAGTCCCAAACTGGAAGCAACCCGATATCTACTGACAGGCGAATGGATATACAAGTTATGGTACATCTGTATGATGGAACCTCACCCAGCAATAAAATGGATAATCTATTGATACATACCGTGACATCGATGAATGTCAAAATAATCATGCTAAGTGAAAGAACACACAAAGATTACATACTACACGATTCCATTTTACAGAAAAGTCTAGAAAAGACAAATCAGTTGTGGCAGAAAGCATGCCAGCCATTGCCTGACAGAGGATAGAAGAGGATGGGGTTAGCCGGGGTCATGAGAAAGCGTTTGCAAGTGATGGATATGTTCACCATCTGGCGTGTGACGATAGTTTTATGGGTATATACCTATGTCAGACGTCAAATTGTACACTCCTAATAGGTGCAGTTTATTGTATGTCAGTCATACCGCAGTAAAATTTCTTTAAAAGTCCTTGCCCTCATTGAACTTCTAGTTTATTGGGGATGAGGTGTAATGGTAATTACATTAAACAAATATATTTTGGGCGTGTGTGTGGGTATACGAGTATGTAAGTGTGTATATGTGTCAGATGTTGAAAAGCCTTTTGAAGAAAAACAAAGCAGTGTGGGGATAGAAAGTGATGGGGAAGGCAACGGAGAGGAGGTGAGATCAGTCTCCTGTAATATCATGCGACATTTGAACAGACTAAGCTCCCCTGTAAGCGTTTGAAAACTGTTCAAAGATCTGTTTGTTTTTTTAAAGTTACAGGTGACCATTCTCTCTCCCTCATCTAAAACGATAGCAGCCTTCTCCGAACCTGAAGCTTTGCAGGTTTAAGTGTTTGCCATCAGAAGGAAGCAGATGGGAAGGGTGGGCAGGAGAGCCCCGCCTACTCCACCTGCCCAATAGGAGCCCGCTTCTGCTAACAGAATTTCTTGTGGTTGATTTCTGATCGGAAGCATGAAGGCCTATTTCTTTGAGCATTTGTAGGGTGGTGAGTCAGTAGGAAAGTCACCATCAGAATCCCAGTCTCCCGTTTCCTGCCAGATGGAGGCCGTTACCCCTCAGTGTCTAAAAGGAAAACCCCAAATTCTCCAGTCTCGTCGCCTTTGGTGTTCCTGTGTGCGTGTGCATGGTGCTGGTGAAAGAATGCCGTGTATCCGAATGGGAGAGTGAAGGTTCCCATCAGTGGAGGGAACTGCTTGTTTGTGTCCAGTAGTCCTATCAGAGCCGCTGGAGAGAAACCTGTTCTGGCGCCATGGCGGGCGTCTTGTCTTGTCTGCGCCTGCGCAGGGGGAGGAGCGTGTTGGGGGTGGTGGATGCAAATGAGAGGGAGGAGCCATGTATGTCAGCTGATATGGAACCTGAATTTGATTTGTTCCCCAAAGAGTGCTTGCTAATAAGAGACTTTAGAATAGCTGTGTATTGGGACAAAGGGAAAGAATGATAGAAAAGAGATTAAAAATGCCATGTAACATGTGCCGTGAGCTGAAATGTGGTCGTTGATTTTGAAAGGGTGCTTTTAATTCTAATCATGCCCTGGTTTTTCTTCTTTTTTTTTTTTTTTTTGGTTATTTTTCAAACGTGGTCTGTCTAGAGAATAATTTAAAGCTTTTTGCCTTATTATTTAACATAAATTTTGTGACAGTAGGAGTGGGAAAATGCATTGATCTAAAGCCAATTGTGTATTTCTGTTTCTGTAAAATTTTGATAAAACATACTAATTCCTGTCATTCTATTTTCCATTTTCTGTCCATGTGGGAATTTTATTGTAAAAGCCGCATGTCGTGTTCTGAATAGTACTGATCAGAGTATGTGCTCTGACTCCAGGCCCTGGAACTGGCCTTCCTGTGTTTACAAGAACCTGTGGGCTCTGCCTGTGAGGAGCCCTGCCAAGCAGGGTCCCCAGCCTGGCTCCAGCTCCCCCCCATCCTGGCTCCAGCTTCCTTACATCCTGGCTTCAGCTCCCCCACCTATCCTGGCTCTAGCTCCCCCTATTCTGGTTCCAGCTCCCCCCCATCCTGAATCCATCTTCCCCCCATCCTGGCTCAGCTCCCCCCATCCTGGCTCCAGTTCCCCCCACCCTGGCTCCAGCTCTCCCCGCAGCCAATGGAGGTTCTCATGGCTCAGGTTTCTGTAACCTTTAGCAGCCCCAGACTTCCCCCACCCTCCACCTGCTGCGGGTCTGAGGCAAATGAGTCCAGTTCTGTCAACCTCAGAGCAGTTAGTCTTCATTTTTTGGGGTCACAGTCCCCTTTGGGGATCTGATGAAAACTACAGATAAAACGTTTGCACATAACTTGAGGGGCTGCCTAGAACCTCTGTTCCAGAGCAGAGGCAGGCATGAATGCCCATCTCCAGTAAGCAGTTACGGTTCTCTGCCAGGTACCAGGGCAGCACTCTGCAGCCTGGGGAGTAAGTGTTTCTAATAATAAGCCATTGGGCCAGGCACCAGGGAAGGAGGTGGCTGCGGCCTTTCATAGGCCCTGGGAAGAGCCTGTGTTTGCTGCCACCGGCTACATCCATGTGGTTTTGTTATTGGGGAAAAGATTAGGACAGACTTCTCAATATCCGCCCCCCCTCCCCCACCAATTCTGTGGTTCTCCTTTGTTCTGTATCATATAATCCCTCACATTTATGCAGAGCGACCTGCTGTCCTGTGCTGAGACTGTTGACAGGAAACCAGGACCCCCTCTGCCTCACAGTGACTCAGCAGCCTGGTCCTTCCCACTGTTCATGTAGTGATTTTTTTCTCGAATTGTATCCTAGACATGAAGCTTTCTAAGTTAAAATCTGCTGACAGTACTTTTTCTTTCTGCTTGCAGCTTGTACCTCCTTTTAAGCCTCAAGTAACATCTGAGACAGATACCAGATATTTTGATGAAGAATTTACAGCTCAGACTATTACAATAACACCACCTGAAAAATGTAAGTAAATCTAGAAGGCAATTGATAACATTCCAATATAACTGAAGAAAATGGTCACTTTTTTTATTAGATATTTTCAAGATCAAATTCCACCGTGACGTATTCCATTCCATATAAGAATGGAGCTCCCAGTGTGGTCATATAAAAACTGATAGCTGAGAGAAAAGTTTTTTCAGGTAGGAAAAAATTGCATATGGAAAAATTGTAAACTGAGAAATATAGACTGAATTATAGACTAATTAGCCCTTACTATTCTCTAATAGAGTCTTTTGATATCACCTGAAAGGATTCTGAAATAGAGACCCCCTACCCTCCACCATATCTCCCGTTCACATATCTCCTTCAGAATTTTGCTAATTCTGGTCTTCTGCTTAATAGTTTTTTTAAAATTCACTTTAAATTGAATCACTCTTTTTTACCTACCTCTGTCTTAAGGGGTAATATCTGTGAAGACATAATTTAGTTTGCTAGCAATTTTTGATGTATATACATTAAATTACGTGTCTATTAAAACTGTATGTTCATGTACCACTTCAGATCATTCCACGTACACTAGCCTTGGCATAGCTTGCCCCTGGCCCCAGCATGGACTGTGATGACAGAATTGGGGCAGGGGTGTCCTGTAACCTTCCAACCTAAAGAACAAAGTGCAGCCCATCAAACACTGAACCCCACCCCTTCTCTACACTGACCTTTACTCCGTGATGAATTTGTTTCTTTACTTACTGTCTATTTCTCCAGCTAGAATCCAGTCGCTCTGAGAAGGAGGGACTGGGTGTCTTATTGCCTGCGGGCCCCAGCTCTTAGCTAGGCGCCTGGCTCACAATAGGTGTTCAATAAATATGCATTAAATGAACAAACAAATTATGGTGAGGGCCTGGTGGTTTCAGGGTCCAAGGAGGCCCAATTCCTCCCAGATAGTGCTGCTGCCAGTCCATGGGCAGAATTTTGTGTGTTTGGCCTCCCCGGGCGATGTCCACAGCGGGCATTGGAAGGTAAGCTCCTGGCATGTCCCTGTCTCGCCCTCAGCCTCTTTGAGACAGTGCCTCTGTTGAAGGGAGCTTTGGGCATGGGTAGGCTCTTTTTGGGGTACCTGAATGTTGTTTTGGAAGTCATAGGCGTAGGTGGGTTCTATAAACACGAAGCCATGGGTCCACAGCTTCCTTCAGAAAGCTGAAAGTAGGATCCCAGGACGGAAGAGGGTGAGAGGCTGCAAGCCCAGGGCTCAGACCCTGCTTCGTGTTCTGGCTCTGCCGTTCACGGGCTCTGTCTGGAATGTGGCAGGTGACGCCACCTCTCCAGGAAAGACACCTAGAGTTCTACAGGTTTGGATGACTCTATTTTTAGGTTTTATTTAAGCCCCAGATTGCCAGCCTGTGGTGTTCTTTGTTCTGTGATCCACCCTGTGAGGAGTGATGACTGGCCCAATACAGTAAATGCTGAGCAGAGCGAGCGGGCTGAACGGAGGGGCACCAGGAAGGGACTGACTGAATTTGATGCTGGGAAGGGTGAGACTACAAAGACCACAGCAAAACAGTTTAAAATCTATTTGATTAGGGATAAGCGCAATTAAAAGCTTTTTAATACATAGTCCCTTAGCCATCGGTTCCTATTTTTATGATTGACTTGAGTTTCAAAATCCTAGCTGTCAAGAACCGGAATTGCCTGAAGGGTCAGCTCACCAGCCTTATCCCTCTGTCCACACTCACATGGCGGTCGTCACGATGAGAACATCAGGAAGTATTTTATTGCTTAATTTTGAGACCTTCTAAAATGAGACTGAAGTATCAGGAGTTTTAAGTCACGTGGGATCGTTTTGAGAATATAATCCGAGCCTAGTGACTCAGCTCCTTGAACAACAGTAGAATGGAACTGAATGTTATAAGTGAAGGTTTTTCCTGGCCTGTCACATTCTGTCACTAGAAGCAACTCTGTTCTTGAAAGAATATATATCATTTTAGACATGGGTAGTGCTGGATAAGCCCAGTGACTCAGCGTGTTTAAAAGATAATACAGCTGAGACAGGGACGGATAACAAGCCTGGACACTGTGGCGACTCCAAGGTGATGTCAGCATCCACCTACTTGTAGGCCTGGCCGGTCTGGGTTCTGTGGGCACCAGAAGTGAGCATGGGCCTGGACGGCCCAAAACGGGAGTCCATCAGTGTCACCTGTGTCTGACAGGGCACACAGTCTGTGGTCAGGAGGACATGGGACATGCCATCCTGTCTCCTGATTCTGGGTCCAGAGAGGAAAAGCAGATAGAACAGCTCAGCAGAGCGGGCGGAGGCCAGGGCGGGCCCTGTGGCCTGTTCTGGGGGGCTCGGGTGGGGGGCTCGGCTTGGCCCTGTGGCACCAGGCTGGGGCCTGGCCTCCTGCCGCAGGAGTGGCCTCGGTGGTCGTGAACACACCCCTGGGTTCTTCCAGGGCACAGGGCAATGTTTGTAGTTTCATGGTCCCTGGGTATGTGTTTCCTAGATTCCCTTAAGAGGCAGCTCCAGGGAGAATCCGTGAAAGCTTGAGCAGTGGTTCCATTTCCCACACTCTTCCTTCCAGCAGCTCTGAGCAGCGCCGCTGGTGAGGAACCGCCATGCTCCCACAGCGGTGCCATGCGTTAGCGGTTGTCTTCCCACTTGCCACCTTGCTTTTCTAAAACAAAATGGAGTTATTTCTTAGAACAAATCAGCAGTTAGAAAGGCAAAGTGTTCCTTTTCTACAAACAGCTGCAGTAACATGCCAGATTGTCCCCACTGGTGTTAATTAATTGAACAGATTTTGGAATGTGTCGTCTTGCATTTTATCCATTAATGATCCTCTGCCTTCTTCTTACAGAGAGAGAGGGTTTCTTTGAGATCTATCTAGTAGCTTTTCCTGCCATATAATTGCATTTGTTCAGGTTCTAAGAAAATGAGGCACCTGATGCTACTTGGATCCAGAGATTCAGACGTAGAATGCAGAGTTGGGCGTCCTGTTTTCTTTTTCCAGATGTGTGTTATTTGGGTTTGGGGGGCAGAGTTCATGTTCATTATCATCATTATTCCCTCTGAACCTCCTTTCAGAGCAGGAACGTATAGATACATTATAGGTCAACTGGGGATGACAGGCTCTGGCCGTGCGCTTAGCTGCCACATCACTGTCACTGTCATCTAGTGCCCGCCCTCCACAGCCCCACCTACCTGTGCAGCACGGAGGGCCCAGGGGAACCCCTCATTCGTGCTTCCCCAGGCTCACAGCCCCTCACTATGAAAGAACAGGAGGGAGCTGGAATGAGGGAGGGATGTAGCTGGCTTGAAGGACTCCAGGCAGGGGCGCTCATGGTTATCTGTGAGATTCAGGTTTCTTTGTATTCAGAAATGTGACTCATTTGTTACTGAAGTGACTCCCTCTTAAGTCTCAGCTACCTACCGTGCAATAACTCCTCCTCCTCAGAAAGGACCTCCCACACCTCCCCCTGTCCTGGGCCTGGCCAGCCTGGCCGAGGCCTGGTTGCGCCCCGGAGCCAGGCAGCCTCTGCCCGTCTCTGGCTGTACGACCACCAGGCTCCCAGCCCGCGCCGTCCAGGGCTGTCGGCACGTTCACTGTGCAGAAACACACTCAGCCAAACAAAGCTGTTAGTGGGGAAAACAGTTTCTTTGAAATATGATTGGCACCTGTCAGAATACGAACATTAAGATTTCAGCTGCCTTTTTCTCTAGAGAGTTTTTATACTTTGTGACTGAACAACAGGTATGCCATCTGCAGCTTCTACCGTCTTTAGTGGAGCTGAAAATACTGTGGGAAGTGTTTCACCTGAAAGATGCCTGTGATTTGCCTGGTGCCTCACCAATACTTCCTAATCAGGGGGCAGAGATTTCCCTAAATAACAGTACTCTTGGGAAATGCATAGTTACAAGGAGAGAGGCCCTCAGAGATCAGTGGTCTGCAGGGAGCAGGAGCCGGAAATGCCCCCTGATGGCTGAGTCCCACCTCAGGCAATGGTATTTTCTAGTACATTCGAGGCCACAAATTTTGGTGAGCAACTTGATCCATTTCTCGAATCTTCTGTATTAAGAACAGAATATCCAAAAGAAGCACAGCGAGCAAAGAGCAGAAAAGTTCGCTATCATTCAGAGGGAGTGCAAAGCATCATCCTCTATTGTGTGACTGGGTCAGTGCCCCCTGACACAGCGGGATCTGGCCATGTTCCTTCTCCCATTCCATGAAATTGATGATCCCTGGAGAGGCTGGAAGTGGGAAGAGTTGGCAGTGTACTTCCCGTATGTATTTGAGGAAATGGAATTGCGTGGCTTGAGGACAAGAAGGTTGGGCATTTGAAAGACTCCCTCACTCACTTCACTGTAGGACAGCATGTGAGCAAATGTACCTCAGTAGAGCGGGAGGTTTCGGGGGGCGCCTGGAGGGAGGGCGACAGCGGGGGCTTTGGAGTCCAGAGCAGAGGGGGATATTGTAGACTGAGTGAGGGAACGCCTGAGCACGTACAAGGAAGAGCACTCTGACTGTGGGACCGTCATCGTGGGAACGGTGATGGCAAAAGGTTGGGAGCCATTTGTAATCTTTCAAACGCAGGAAAAGAGGAGCAATGAAAGGCAGGAGCAGCTTACATGTAAACAGCTTGTTTCCATGCTCTCAAGTCTCTCGTCTCTCTCACTATTTGTTTCCTGATGAATTAGTACTTAGATGCTGACATCTTTCCATCTTCGTCTGTTCTCTTTATTCTAGTTTAAAGTTGTATCATAGGAAAACTGGGAAGGGGGAGTAAAGGCAGATAGTAGATAAATAATGTAAAATCATAAACATGTAATCAAGGACTCAAGTGAAATGGAATCATATGAAGCTTTGTTTTTCAATCACACCTAAAGCACCGTGAAGAAGAAATACAGCATTTGGGGACAGTTGGTACTGGATTCCGGGATCAGGCACCTTTGAGTCATTGACTTCTGCCATGTTGACATGCAGGTTCATGAAATTCAAGGTTATTGGAGATTGTCCCTTCTAACTTAAAAAATCTTGTTTTCTTCAATAATATTGTCTGACAGTTTTTTATTGAGTCTTAAAATGTTAATGTCTTGAAGGTGATGATTTGATAGTGTTATTTCTTCAGAGATCATGTGTTTGAAAATGAGATCATTTTGAAATAAGTTTAGCGACTGTATGTTTTGTTCAGGATAAACCAAGTTTCTGAGCCATTGCGCCTGTTCATCTTTATTAAGGTAGAAGTTCGAGCTATGTAGACCAGACAGAATGTTGTCAAAAACAAATATAAAATTAAAATAGCTGTTTCCCGCCCACAGATGATGAGGATGGTATGGACTGCATGGACAATGAGAGGCGGCCGCACTTCCCTCAGTTTTCCTACTCTGCAAGTGGACGCGAATAAGTCTCTTTCATTCTGCTACTTCACTGTCATCTTAGATTTATTACTGAAAACGGTTCCCGGACATCACACCAGTCCTAGCTCTCACCAACAGCAGCAGCGCCCACACATCCCAGACCGATGCAGGGCCTCCACCCCTCGCCACCTCCCACCCACATGAGAACACACATATACGCAAATACACTCGACTTTTTGTTTTTGCATGAAATTGTATCTCAGTCTAAGGTCTCATGCTGTTGCTGCTACTGTCTTACTATTATAGCAACTTTAAGAGGTAATTTTACAATCTTCAAAAGTCATGAGCCCACCATGATTCATTTGTGCACCAATGGTCATCTTTTGATCTTTTAGTTTTTGTTTTTCCCTAACAGTGAAGGATAAATGAGATACACTGATGCTAGGTACATTTTTTTTTAACTTTCTAGAAGATAAATCAAAAAACTAATTAGACTAAGAAGATGTAGTTTCTAATTCAGAACAAGCGATTGTGGAAGGGTGGTAATGTGCACATGCCGAATTTTAGTAAAGCGCATCAGAACAGCGCCTGATGTAGGCGTGTGTCACTCAGATCTGGCGGAGAATCACTAGGAAGCATTTGAGAGAAGGACTGAACATCTGTTGAGATCCGTATATATCTCAGTATATACACATTTAAATGCCTGTTGGATCCTGCAGAGGAAGCCTGGTATTATACTTGGGACATCCAGATTTCATGGGCAGCCACGGGCAAAGGAACATTGTTCTACCAGGAAGGAAGCACACATATGCACAGCAGACAAGGTCACTGACAGGGTCGAGGATAGCATTTGCACCAGAGAGCATTGTTTTCCTTGTGCTTGGAATCCTTTTTCCATTATTACTATTTATCGCCTCTGATGGCTGAAGAATGTAGACAGGTAGAACGATCCTGCTTTTCACCAAAATTTGTACACCAAGGTAAACGGGGGTTTGCCTTTTTGTTTTAATTTTTCATTTCAGTTCTATGTGAGTTAGCTTTTTCTCAGATGTTAAAACTTTGAATGTCCTTTTATGATTTTGTTTATATCGCAGTAGTATTTATTTTTTAGTGATGAGAATTGTATGTCTTGTTAGCAAATGCAGCTCCAACTTAACAGAAACTAGACTTACTGCAGTTTATTCTGACCCATGTGCGAGGAATGTACACGCCGATGAGAATCATGCACTTTTTCTCCTACGTAAAAAAATTTTTGATGAGGCTCTGAAATTGTACATATTGGTTAGAATTTGGCTTTGGGAGAAGAGATACTGTCATCTAACCCCTTGGCGCTAAACATGAGAAAATCCCCAACTATGCCAAGGGGTTAATGAAACAAATGGACGTTGATATTTGCTCACTTGAGAATTGAGATGTTATGGCAGCCTGGCAACATAATGGAACGAAGAAAATTGAGACCTGAATGATGATAAGAAATGAACTTGACTTGGCAAAATGAACACATCTCGAGTACTTACGAAGTAGGCAGTCAAGGATAAGAACCTGGTATGTTTATTCTGATCATGGTACATTAATCGCTGAATTAAGCCATCAGGGAAACAAAACAAAACAAAAGAACACCTCCAACTTTTCTTTTTCTGTATATACTCACGTCCCCCATACCCAACATTTCTCACTGAAAGGGGACATGTATGCAAACCTCATCTTTCTCCTTCATCAATGACGATCTTCAGATTAAAACCTTTGGTGCTAGGAGCTGACATTTTCCAAAGCAGCCTATGAAGTCCAGGGGCTGGGGCCTTCCCGCGGCGAGCGGGGGGCTGTTCGGCTCCGTGGAGTGATCATGGAGATGTATTTTAGTTACAGCTCCCAAATGGAAGACTACAGTATGACGTAGTATTCTGATTGCATTGTATGAAAGAGCAAGTGACTTTCTCAGTAGGATGAGTCATTCATATGCAGATGTCTTAGCCTCTTGACGCTGGAAGTGTGGATTTATAGATATGAAACCACTGCTGGCAGTGGGCGGGCCACTGGGACCGACGGGGGGTTAAAGGGCATTTTACTAAGGCAGCTAAGACATATTCAGACATAGATTTTACCCTAATTTTTCATATTTCTACCTGAGTGAAGTTCATCCTTAGTATTGAATAGGAAGTTATGGTAGCAAATGGTAGTTCATTCTTACTTACACATGTCGCTCAACTTTTTTTTTTTCCACTTGGAATTATGTTGAATGTTTCACTTTAACAAGAAAGTAGACTAAAAGGTATGTCTTGTAAGTTGTCTTGCATTCATTTTAGAAAAAAGAAACAGGTGAGAGGAAGAGAAGGAAGCTGAGGCTGGCTGATGACCACAGCATTCGTTCCTTTAGAAGGAGAGTGTGACACCATACACTAAGCACATCAATAGCTTTTTCTTGTTTTTTTTTTCCAGATCTTAAGGTGATTTCCACGACCTTGGCCAAGGACTCGTGTGTCCTAAGGATTAATGACAGAGTAGACTGTGCCCCAGACTGGCCACTCCTCACAGCTGGCTCTCAGTCCCCAGCCAGTGCTTGGGGCTCAGTCACTTATCCCCTCCAGGAGTCCGTTAGTGTCACCAAGGTGTTTTCTTGGCTTAGATTTTGAGGAACCCTTACTTTCACTCCCAGCTCTCAATCAGCTGGCATGGTGGAATCATAGAAAAACAGGACTAGGTGTAGGAGATATCTAAAACTTCCCTTGTGTCTGCCCGTAGCTGTAGTTTTGGATTCTGGCAGATGGAAAGGTGTGAAACCTGGAGTCGTTCTACATCAGAACGCAGTTCAGACTTTGCGGACTCCACCTTGCCCTAACTGTCGTGAAGCCTGCCCTCTTGTCATCTTGGAGGAAACTGGCCATTTCTGCTTGGAGTTTCGGCATGGTCGCTCACAGCTTTGCTTTCTACACTAATCACATAGCATTATTCCAGTATTGTTTTCCATCGCCCATACCTGATTCCCGGCTTCTTAAAGCTGACTGTTCTTGCAGGGGCCACTTGCTTCTCCTAGAGTACAAAAGTGAGGGCCTTCCTTACTAACTGCAGGGTCTATATATCACACCTCAGTGTACACACGTTGCTGCTACTGTTTGTACTGTCTTCGGTAGACTCTCCTTATCTTGCTCCTGGTAGCGCATTACAGGCAAGCATGAAATGTAAAGTATTTATTTAAATAAAAAGAAAAACCTCTAAATCGGTAATTGAATTACCTCCCTGTAGCTTTATAGTTTGTGACATTTCTTGACCTTGCTAGTTCTTTCATTAGATCCGCGCAAGATCTAGTCATCTGGTTAAGGATTTTAAGCAGACGCAACTACAAACCCAAGAAACTGTATTACTATTACTGTTGGTCATACTAAAACTGTTTCTTTCCTTAAGTATATGACCCACAAGGATGTGAAATAACTACAAGAAACTGTTTTTGTACACTGTACATCCTTAGTATTTTTACACGTATATAATAGGGGTGCACATTATTTTCCTTCGTACAGACAGCTTAAATAAAGCACTATGTCAATCTGCTACTTCTCTGTTTATTGTTGTGGGATGTGGTTCTGTAATCTCAGACAATTAAATCATTCTCTGAAGAAAACAAAAGATTTTTAATAGCCCCGCCTCGTGTTAACTTACCCTGTAAAAAAAAAAATGTGACAGGAAACTATGTAAATTTCTTGTAGCTCAAAACACACGCGGGATTATTTTATTACTTCAATAAAATGGTGATGGTGCAGTTGTACAAACTCTGATGAAGGGCTACGTCCACAGGGGAGACGCTGACCTCCCAGCGCTGGCTGGGTTTCGGAGAGACCTGCTGTGAAGCCAGGCATGGGTTAGGTCTCCGTGGAGGTTCATGAAGACCCTAGAAACCTTCACACCAGATGGCTTGCACCCAGAATTCTTAAGGAGTGTATCTCCCTAGTTATGTCTTCCTGATCATGTGTTGCTCTGCATACTTCCTTTCTGAGAGTCTGGTTTTAGAACTTCATGGCAAATGAACAAACGTAGACGTGGGTAGTAGAGGGGTAGGGTGGTTGGACTATGATCTGATTTACCTAGAGTCATTTTGGATGGGGCCTTTTTTCTGATTTTACCTCATAAACCTCCTGTTGTAGAAACTTGGCTTTGCTCCTGTGACTAAGCCAGAGAGAGGAGTGGCTTTGGGACCAAAGTTAGTTAAGCATGTATGTGTGTGTCACACAGCCAAATTCGAGGGCATTCTTACACGTGCTCTCCTCAAAACCACTGGGGTTGACAGATCAGGAGACGAAAATAAAGTGACCTCTATACTTCTTTAAAGGTGCTATTTTTAGACTATTGTATAATTTATTTACTGTATTCCTAAAACAATTAGGGACAAGTAACCTATCTTATGTGACAGCCTTTATGTCTAGCACATTTGAGGAAATCAAAAACTTCTGACTCAGAATAGAAGAAGTTCAGCTCTTTCAGGCTTGAACCTTTTCATGCTCCAGAGATGCCAATGGTCTTTGCATGTGTATCATCCCATCGCCTCTGATGCCTGATCCACGTGACGTGAGGCTGAGGGGCCTCGGTGGTGATGAAGGTGATAGATTGCTGGCCAGGGACAACAGCCTGAGGTCAGGGACGTGCCCCCACGGCAGCCCTGCCTTTAGTGTTCCATTGTCATCTTCAAAGACAACGCAACATTTCAGTGCCCATTTTTATTCCTTTTAAGCATTTGAGGGCTTAACTGTGTATAGTTGAAATACTATTTTAAACTAAAATGATCTGTGTACAGATAGCCGATAGAGCTCTAAGAAATGTTGTGATTTCACTGAGTACGTTTTTAGGTTCCTCTCAAATACTGCATATGGAAGAAGCAACGTGACACCACCGAGCCAGAGATGCTCTTTTGTCTGTTTTTGTTGTTAATCAAGTGGAGAGAATAATGCTTCGTGCTTCCTGGTGTCTCCCGATTGTGCACAAATTAGCAGGACGATAAATAACGGAGTCTTACGGGACGTTGATGAACGGCAAAGTGGAAGGGTGATACGTAGATCACACAGGGGGAAAGAAATGTGAATGGCAGGGAAAAAAAGTGTGGTTAATACCCTTTGGCCTCGTTGATATATGTGCCTTTTTGGTGTGTTTTGTTCATCACTACAAGGTAAAAAGTAAACATTGCAATTCCAGTCTTGAAAAAGTTCATTTATTGAAATCCAAATGTGTAACATAGCATACAAATGAGCAGATTTAAAACTATAATAACTTCAAGCCATTTCTGGAAACATACACCAGGAGGTCTCCTCGTCCAGTGTCAGACTTCAGCTCCAGCCTGTCCATCATGCGGGGACGGCTCGGCCGCAGACGTGGTGATGACGGCGAGGCCCACTGCCATGTGAGGCGGGGGCCACCGGAGTCGCGGTGCATTGTGACATATTCCGTACAAATCAGATGAATGTAAATATCTCTTTGTAAATCATTTATTTCACTGTTTCATCCAGGTCAGCAATCAGATTGTGGCATGCTGGGTAACTGGAAAAAAAATGATAATAAAAAGTAAGTTTAAATAGATCATCCTCTTTGATGTGATTTGTCTTCTCACTGGTTTAGTGAACTCTTCTAAATTTTTGGAGAAAAAAATTTCTTTTGCTAAAAATGTAGAACTTGTATGTAACCCAACTGTATGAAAAGTCTATTAGTCCTCATCTTTGCCACAGATTAAGTCCTTGTCAAATAGGACTATAAGGTGAACTATTTTGTGTTAATGCTTTAAGTCGGAAAGCAACTTGTATTCCAGACATCTGTGTGTCTCTTCAAAAGAGCCGTCTGTGACAGGATGTGGCGAGGAAGCCATCTCATCCCCTGTCCAGTTAAGGAGACACTGATTGGTGCCCGTGACTGAAAACCACTGACATGACAGCGAGCGCAGCGAGAGCTATGGGATGTAGGCCAAGTGTCCCTAAGAAATTTGTTGTGAGACGATACACGCTGACACCTTCATTTTTTAGCTTTAGACAACTTACTGTAACATCTATAAAGACATTTTCACATGGGAACCACCTCCCGCATGCTGGAATCAGGGATTTGCTGCACAGGGTCTCTCCGTTTTAAACAGGTAAAAATGTTGCAGAACTAGCGCATGACAGTTGGGCAGGGGAGTCACATGCTAGGAAACCACTGGCTGACGGGCTGTTCAAATGAATGGAAACCGCATCGGGAAGGGGTGCCAGAAGCCGCTGGGAATGGTAACGCTCCACAAAACACGTCTCGAGTACCTGCTCCTTACTTGGCAGGAAGATGAGTAAGACGCGAGCCTTGCCCTCCAGAGTGTAAAGTCCCTGAGATGAGAGGGCTAAGACTGTATCTCGCAAACCCATTTTCACTGCAGCAGAGAAATCAGAATGCAACGTAGGGCCACAGGCCCATTCTGGTCTCTGTTTAGCAGGGCGTCATCTTCATGAAAGACAAGGGGGCCCTGTAGGCCCCTGAGCTGGGGCCCAAGGGAGGGCGCTTGCCAGCCCAGCTGAAGCCGCGATTTCTTGTTGAGCATTTCCAGGGCGGGACAGTGAGTGAAACCGAGATCAGAATTCACGCATGAAGAAAGCAAACATCAGCCTGTTGCCGTTTTAAAAATGAGACACGGTAATGTTAACATGTCAAGTAGGTGTCCCAGTGTATGCAAGACACTGATCAAGACAGTTGAATGCAGGAGTCTGAGTAGAATGGTTTTGATACAGGGCAATCATAATAGGTGTGCTGCCCTATCTCACACTGAACACGTGGGGTCTGCAGCAGGAGGCCCCACTGCATCGCGGGGAAGTGTGCGGTGTTTGCAAGCAGCCCTGTGAGAGCTGGGGGTGGCCCAGACGTGGGCACACCCTCTTCCTTCTAGCCCACTGAGGCTTCTGTTCCCCGGCCCCCTCCTGACTGGGCTGCAGGGAGCCCTCCGCGCCTCAGGGCCCTGCTGTGGCAGAAAGGGTTTCCCTTCTGTTCAGTGTGCTACTCGGCCCAAAGGCAGCCGCCGGGTCGATCTGACCATCAGACACTGGGTCTCTATCTAGAGCAGCTCTGCCTTCCAGTCTCGATTGAACTGACCCAGTGCAGCTCCGCCGAAAGCTGGTTTCAATCACCCTCCATCTCCAGGCTCCGGGGGCGGGCTGCCTGGTGACCTGGGTGCTCAAGAGAGAGTGGCTTGCTTTCTAACTTTAGACTCAAGGATGTCTTTGAAAGCAAGGATAAGCATACACCACACCAGGCACACTTCAAATGAAAAATGTAACTCACCCATAACATGTACAGCACAGAACAGTGGTAAGGACCTGGAGGTGATGGAGCTGGGTGACAGCAGCATTTCTCGTGGCGGGTCTCAGTGCAGGCTCCAGGGCCATCCAGGGCCAGCATCATCTGATCTGCTCCCTGCTGGCACGCAGACCACTCACTGAAGCCAGTACCCCCCGGCTCCCATGTGTCTGGGCTGACCCAGATGGGAGGTCCTCAACTTGCACGGGTGGAAGTCACCCGAATTTCTCTCCTGTAGCAAATCAGCTATCACTTCCCTTCAACAGTTTTATATTTTATTTGGTTTGGGTGCAAAGCCCTCTATTCACCCCCACTTTTATATTATATACTCACTGCTCGATCCTCAGGGCCTACAAGTGCCCGACGCATGGTGACATTCAGTAACTATTTGAATGAGTGAGTGAGTGACCCTATTATGTCACTGATTTGTCTGCTTTACACTCAGTGTTACCCTCAGCTTGCTGAATCTTCAGAAAAGAACATTTCTCAGTGCTCTCTCTGCCCTGTCATATGTCAGAGCCAGAGAAGCTTTAGTTACTGCCCAGCTCTGGCTTCTGTGCCATCGCTTCTCGGGCATCTTGGCCACGCTGATTTCCAGGGTGTTGGTTCCTTCGTCCACACCGCAGGGATCACAGTGTGGCTGTGCAGGAAAGATGAGAATGTGTGTGCCAGGGGGACATCAGCCGTTCGAACTGTGGCCTGAACCCTGACCCACCATCTTCCCTTCCTTCTGCCTTTCAACTTGTCACCAAGGCCCCTGGCTGTGGCCCTCCGGGGTGGTGTGGTCACATCTGCAGTTGTCTGCAGCTGCCCTCCAGGTTAAAGGAGGGCCGACAGGGCACCCCGGCAGCTGCTCTGAAACAGTCTACAGATGACACAAATGCCCCCATCAGCAAGCCTGCTCTGCCTACCCATTTTCTTTCTTCTCATTTTAAATCCTAACAGAGCCTTCTCTCCACAAACCCTGACTTTTGTGTCTGATTTATTTCTGAAGTTTGTAAAATCAGAGTTTAAAAAAGAGGTTCCCTTTTGATTACCTCACCTGCTCCCCAAGCAACCACGCTGTGGGGTCCAGCAGAGCCTTTTCCGCTGCTTTGTCCCCAAGCCCGCGCCCCAGGGGCATCATGGCAGCTCCTGGGCTGCTCACGGGGCGCTCACAGCCTCAGCCAGACCAGGCGTCCACCCCAGCCTGTCAGCAGCCCCTGCAAACAGAATACCCCTCCTTGCTCTCCACCTCACTCACTTGCAGTTTGTTTCCATGTGGCCAGGTCAAAAATGGGCCTGTCCTTGGGTCTTTGGCAAGAAGGCATCTATTTTTAACCAGAGAGGGCAACATCCCTCCCGCCACCTCCATCTGGGGCATTTCGAAGCTTGCCCTGGGCTGACAGAGCCCCGGGAAGACCCAGCACCGCCCTCACTGTGGCTCACGCCCCCAGCCCAGTGCCGATGTGGGGACAGGAAGCCTCCTTCCCGTCTGGATGGGCAGCACCGCCTTCCATGCAGGCTTGGGCCCCGGGAATGGACACCAGTCTCTCTAGAAGCGCCTTTCCCTGCCCTCTCACTTCTCAGTTCTATTCACCTCACCTCTCTGGGCCTTATTTGTCTATCTGTACAAAAAGGATGTTAAGTGATGATCCAAACGGCCCTTTCACGCCTACTGTGATCTCAGTGGGGACACTGCTGGTTTCAGGTCATGGGTAATGCAGGGAGCCCCCATTTAAAGGGAAGCTGGCTCTATTATTTTCTTTTAATCAGAAACTAGTGATTCGAACCTAAGCGATTGGATCTCAAAAGTCCAGGCTCGTGACTGCCGAACTGACCAGCGTAGTGAAAGAGCACGTGAGCAGGCAAGTGTGCGTTTGTGGGATGAAGCAGAAGTCAGACTGGGCAGGCAGCCTGGAATAAACAGGCCACGGGAACGAAGGGTGCCCGCACCAGCCCTTTACAGAACTTGGTAGAAACGTGGTCTTCAAATGTGACCTGTGAGAAGGCAGCTCTTCCCCACCCAGGCAGGGCACAGGGTCCATGCCACCCGGCCAGTAGAGTCCTGTCTCCCCCAGGTGACGGACACCCTGGCTGAGCCCCTCACCCACTCTGGGCACAGCCCTTCTTGGACTCTGGCTGTTGCCAGCAGCAGAGCGGGCGGGAGTTCACAGCAAGGGCACGGGTCCCAGCTATTCACGCTTCCCTCCCAGCTGCCGGCTGGGCCACTGACAATGAAGACTCGGCAGGGCAGCAGCCAGAGTTCAAAGCCCCCTTTTCCCCAGACTCCTGGCCTGGCTTTGCTCTGCCTCTGGGCTCCAAACAAGAAAAAGGCTGTAGAAGCCGGAACAGTGAAAAGGTAGAGGCAAGAAAACAGCCTCTTGGAACCCGTGACTGGGGACTGGACCTGGGGCTGTGATGTGGGCGGAGCCAGGGACCCCGGTGCCCCGACGGGAGGGGTCAGGCTTAGAGGACATGCACACCCAGGCCTGGCATCTGCTGCCACCTCTCCTCCCCAGAGCTCACTCAAGCAGAGTTCCCTCTGCAACTCGCGGGAGCCCGAGTGTGTAATCTTCCAGCTTTCTGGAATCCCAGAAGTCATCGGAGCTCCTCTGCACATGGGCAGGTGTCTGTGTTTTCTATGAACCATGTTTCCATGGTAAAGAGATTTTAAGAATTCCCAAAGGACAGACAGTGTCACCAACTGCAGAGAGTGGAGCCTCTGGCTGCCTCATGTTTGAAAGCGTTAAAAATAAAGACAACATTGACATTTGGGGTTGTAATGTAACGGAATTACAGTCTTTTAAAGGCAAGAACCACTTATCTACACTACATGCAATATTCAGTGTTTTGTTCACTTGTCTAATTGGATTAAAATATTTAGCTCCCTTTAAAATCTCGATTGTGAATTTATATTGCAAAATGTAATGTCTGACTCGGGAAGCAATAAGTGCAGCAAATGTATCTGAAGCGATATAAAATTCAGTTTATTTTTCTTCCATGAGTCGTCTTCTTCTGAAATTATTTACTCTTGGACCAAGTGAACTGTTAACCGAGGAGCAAGTTTGGCTTAAACGAAGCCGTGTATGCTTTTCAATAATAATTACACACAGGACCTTCAGTTAAAAAACAGAAAGTTAAGCCATGCTCTTTCAGTCGCTTGGGGAAGTTTGTCTGAGGTTGTAAGACCCGTATATTAGAAATGCAGCGCTAGGGGTCTTATGTCATTCTTTAAAAACACTCAGGCAACGGGGAGTTAATGACATTTTAGCTGCATATGTTCAAGTTTA